ATTAAGGCGGCTGGTGTATTTCTACTAATGAGTGAATCATTAGTGAAAGCTGACATAAGTCGGCTAAGAGCCCGTTCAACTAACGCAGCCACATCCGGAGAGCTAACGCTAGTGCCGTTAGCTACGTTAGCTACGATGGGTGCTTTGGTGAAGTGATTCGTGAGTGAAAATGCACCGGATAGGACATAACGTGGGTAACGTTAGGTAGCACACAACTGGACAAATGGCGGTAAGGTCAGAATAACTAGCCAGCTGACGTTAAGTTAGTGCGGTACCGACTGGCGGATAGCTAAGCTAGCTAGCAAGCAGGCTAAAGTGGCCAGCATGTTTCAGAGCCGCTAAAGTGACTGCGTAGGTTACCGCTGCGTCACTTCATCATTCAGCATTTCAAAGGGAAACTGTGGCGACTGCGGTTCAGCGGCTCCACTGCCCTCTCCTTTATCGTCACTCAGCCATGTGAGAGGTAACGTTAGCTAACCAAGCTAAACCAGTCGGTGGGCGTGGTGGTGGCTTCACGTGTTGGCCCGTGTACTGTCAACAGTGCAGCATGCAGCCGTGCTCTGCTCATTTCAGAGGAGACCTGAATGCAACCCATCACACCGTGCGTTTTGTAATACCTAGTCGTAATGGCCGTTGTTTCGAGGGGTTTAATTGATCATAAAGCTGAGTATGTTTTAAAGACAGTTTATGTATTGACGTGTCTCCTTCATTCTGGTTATAGGTTTAAATGTGCTGGTTCTATACTATGAATATATTTATTTATTTTTGGTCTGTTCATTGGTATTTTACATTGCTCAGAGACTGCTGAAGCCTACCTCTTTACAGTGAACATTTTGTGTCAGCCATCGTGATGTGTACCAAAACAGATGGCCTTGATCATCAGGTTGTTTTTCTTAAGGCTGAACAGTGAAAGTGTGTTTTGGTGAATCTTTGACTGGAAGTGGAGTCAAACACGTTTATATTTACTAAGTTGCATTATGTAACTTTTAACTATTTTATAGTGAGAGTTTAACAGTGATCCAACTCAAATTAAGTTTGATTCGGAGCTAACTCTGGATAAGTGGGTTTTTCAGACAAAAACTTTTAAAGCTCTGCAACAAGTGATTATTTGCGTTATCCATTATCTATCAGTCATGTTTTCTGTAGGTCTATGCCCCTCATAATTGTCATTAGCATCACAAATGATGGTGCGTTCATCTAAGAAGCTGGGACCAGTAAATGAATGGCAGTCGTACCTGATAAATGACAAGAAAACAGATTTTTAAAATGGTTAATTTTGATACTTAATTACCTGACAAATTGTTACTCCTGTCGTATGACCACAAATATAACTATGCTTTGTCATAATCTGTTTTGTATGAAGTAACTGAATGTCCAGTAGCATATGACCCGTAATCTTGCAGTTGAATGACGGTCGACACGTAGGAGGTCATCATTTAGTCGCTGCAGTGTGGGTCGTATGCTACTTGACTTTGCACCTACATGCACTCAACAAAAGGACAAAAATATGGTGAGCAGGATTTACTGGATTTATTCATGTACCAAAGTATTGTTTCATTTGTCATCTTTAAAAAATAAATAAAATGGAAATACGATACAGAACTTGCAATGTAAATTTATTTGGGTTGGGTTTCAAGTGAATGTAAATTGTATGACACTTTGATTTTTGAAAGTGACAAAAATGGCACTAAAGTCTTCAATACATAACTTTTATATGTAGTTGTGTTTTGAATGGGATTGTAAGGAGTAACCTGGGTACAATTTTGGAAGTACAACTTGTTGCACAGTTGCAATAGAAAACAAAACATTGTGGAATAATCTAAAGAGTGTATATAAAACATCTTTCAGAAATGTATTATGACCCCAGGTAGAGCTGGGAAATAAATCAACAATTTTTAAAATGATGCAAAAAAAGGCTGAATTGTAAATCGAGTTTTAAACTGGAGTTTACAATGTGTGGATGTACAGATGCCAAGGACTGTAAAACAATCCCCAGTACCCTTGAAGCATGTTGTACATAATTATAAAGCACAAACATTGTTTATGGGACATACTGTCAGTTAGTAAGGCATTACTAGGCACATCCTTTATTACTGTTTTAGTACTTTACTGTTGGAAAATTAGTGTTTGCTTGACAATAATATACAGTGGTCCCTTTTTACTGAGCTAAAATGCTGAATGGAGAGATGCTGTAGGTGGCAGTATTGCCCATGTTTAGATGTTTAGCAGGAAAGCTGCCTCTCTCCAATGTCCACTGTCATTTTTAAGCGCGTTGATCGTTTCAGTATACTGTTCATGTCGATCTGTAATTATGAGTAAGCAGTTTTCTCACCACGCCGTGTCAGAGAGGCGGAGACGAGTGCTTTTGTGCTTCAGCGTTTTGATTTGTTCCAGTAGATTTCAAGCTGCCGCTGGGTGTTTTGGACCAGTTGTTAAGGGGCACTATAGCACACTATAGTGCAGCCCGTCTGCAGTCTGACTGATCCTCAATCAGACTTTTAGAGAGCTCCTAAAGTTGTATCTAATTTAAACCCTAAGCTGCTAAATGCCTTTAGTTCAATACAAACAACATAGTTTAACTTTTTAATGAAACATATGGTATAGTAGTATTTTAGGGTAGTAAGGAACTTTTTGGATATAAAGAGCTGACATTTTCAGAATATTGTGCTTTCTTGTAGTACTATAACGTTGAAGGGGCCCCCCTATGGGATGACAATACCAGCAGTGGCCCCAAGTCAGTTTGAGATGCCTGGTATAAAACCTTTTGTGGCTCCAAGGGAGCTGTGCAAAATTGGATAAATTGCCTCAAGTGGCGTTACTTGAGTCAGCGTTTGTTGCAGCTCAGGATATGTGGAGTGTGAAAGAAGTGAGATTACAAGACATCTGTATTCTGTGGCCCACTCCTCATCTCTATCTGCTATCTTTTCTAGGCTACATTAGCCACTGCTAGCATAATCCATCCAAATGTTGAACTGGACTGGCAGCAGCTGCATTGCGGGTGATATCGACAGGTTGTAGGATGTCAAAGATAAGACTTAAAGGCAGAACAACACTGTAGTATTAAGGAGAGACTGTGACCTGAATACTTATTGTTTTTTGAGTTCCTTTTTTTTTCAAAATGTCTCCAACTTTCACTTTTACTGAAGCACTGGAAACTACTCTTCACTCCTTGTTTAGGGAAACGTGTGATGATCACTAAGTCACAGCAAAGCGCACCCTTTGGACAACACAATGTCTGATGTGAAAGTCTGTCCCACTGTGAGTGGAAACCCCCCTCCGCCAGAGGTCATAAATCCTAAGCAGCCTGGACGTGTCACCAACCAGCTGCAGTATCTGGAGAAGGTGGTGATCAAAGCTTTATGGAGACATCAGTTTTCCTGGCCCTTTCGCCAACCAGTTGATGCAGTGGCACTGCATCTCCCAGTAAGTAAAAAAAGCATCACAACCCTACTCTAAAATGTGTTGTTGCTGTAGTATTTAGGTGCATCCATCCAGCACACTTTGTCTTGATGAATAAGTTCCATTTGACTGACCTGGGAAGGAAAGACTTTAGTGTATTCATGTCAGTGTCTTTGTTGTCTTTCAGGATTATTATACAATTATTACAAATCCTATGGATCTGAGTACTATTAAGAAGCGTCTTCAGAACAAATATTACTGGCAAGCACTTGACTGTATACAAGACTTCAACACCATGTTCACCAACTGCTATGTGTACAATCGGGTAAGAACACTATTTGTGGTGCTGTATAACACAAACGGGTACGTACAACTGCAAACTGCATCTGGAACTGCCTCCACAGAAATAATAGACAGAAACATAACTACTATGAACTTTTCCAATGCAAAAGTAGGTCTGTGAACGGACCCCTATTGCTGTTCCATCATACTGTAATGCTGAAATTCTCTTAAAGTATTTATTTAGTTTAATGGTGTGAATTTTGTGTCCACAGCCTGGAGACGACATTGTTTTTATGGCACAGAGCCTGGAGAAGCTTTTTTTGCAGAAAGTGTCCCAAATGCCTAAGGAAGAGTGTGAAATTGAGGCAATCACCATAAAGGAACCATTGAAAGGGAGAAAGATGAATACAGGTATCTTCAGTCCCTTAAGATGTGGTCCGATATTGCACATTTCTCTTTTTTAGAATTAGTATGTCAGATTTTTGGTCTATACTGTATAACTGGATTTAACATTTATCTTGTTTGTTTGGAACATTTAATTGTCAACTTGAGGACAAAATGTTCTCTTGCTGCCTGATATAACCCACCCACTGACAGGAGCCATGATAACCAGATAATCAGTGTTATTCACTTCTCCTGTCAGTGCTCACAATGTTATGGCTGATCGCTGTATATTGCCACGTTCGAAGTTTGCCTCTGCTAATTTGACCTTTTTACGATGGTATCTGATTCTTGTGCATCACTTTACCTCCTGTCCTACAGCTGGAATAAAGCAAAGATCCCTTGTGTCCGAAGTTGTTCTCCAGCAGACAGTGACAGTCATTCCTCCTGATGTGCCTCAATTTATCCCTCCAATCCAGCTCTCTGCACAAATTGAGGCAGTAAGAACTTATTGGTTTGCAAGCAACTTGTACACTATACATACTGATTTTATATATCGCTGTGAGTGTGACAACATGCAGAAAAGAGCTATTTTTAGCTAGATTGTTACTATGATTGGGTTTCATAGTTTACAACCCACTTTTGGTGCTTGGCTTGTTATTTTGGTAAGACAATAAATCAAAATGTGTTTAACTTGTTTTATCATAAATGATGTATTTTCACACTAGCAGTAGCTCATTCTGTTGTGGTATGACCAACACTCTGTTCATACCACAATACAATAAATGCTTTCTCGTGTTGGATTCTCATTAGTGAAAGTGTTTCACAAACTTAACAAAAAATGTTAAATCACATTGCAGATTCTGTAGCCTGTTTGTTTTTTGAATCAAACTTTTAAATGTCAAAATGGTAAAGAAATTGTAAATGTTGTTCTTTCTCTAACTTTATGTATCTGCAACCTTTTTACTAAATATTCAGATTAAAAAAGGTTTTAAGAGGAAAGCAGACCCTCCGCCCTCCACCACCTCAGTTATAACCAGCAGTCAGGCATCCCCCGCTGAGGATCATTCAGCGCCCTGTACATTATTCTCCAGGAGAGGCAGTGGAAGGCCCATCAAACCTCCTAAGAAAGACTTACCTGCCTTTGAGAGTAAGAAGGTCAGACTGTCTGAGCAGCTCCGGTACTGCAATGATATCCTGAAGGAAATGCTCTCAAAGAGACACTATGCGTACGCATGGCCCTTTTATACCCCTGTTGATGCAGTTGCTTTGGGCTTGCACGACTACCATGACATCATCAAGCAGCCTATGGACCTCGGCACCATCAGAGTAAGATGATTATATTAAGTATATAACTTTGTTTTTAATCTTTTCAAATAATTTTAATCATAACATAGTGTTATTTTCTCAGAAAAAAATGGATCAACGAGAATATGCAAATGCAAAGGAATTTGCCGCTGATGTCCGACTGATGTTCTCCAACTGTTACAAATACAATCCACCTTCACATGAGGTGGTCTACATGGCGAGAAAACTGCAGGTATAGATTTTCTTTTGTTCCATCAAATCAGTATAGCACAACTTTAAGGCACCACGTGGAGCTAAAATGCATTGTGAATATCCTGAAGGCCTAATAAATGTGTTTAATGGATTTTCCTCTCAACATTTGCAGACCCATTTGGAAGAATGAGAAACTTGCATTGTTTGCATCCATGTTCACTTGTTAGCAGGCTCCATCTTCCTTGCATTTGTTGGCGCTTTGCTGCATTTCTTGGCACATTACCACCCCCAACTATTTATCAGTGCAATAGTGTGAAACCATCTGCAGCACTGTATATCCAGTGTTGTGAAAGTCCACACATCACATAGCTAGGTCAAAATTCAGTTCACACAGATTAAAATGAACTAGTTAACAATTTTGAATTAAATTCACAGTCTCAAAAACAAGCTGTTTTACAAAACGCTGTGGGTTTGATTTGGGTAGAGGAACTTTGCGTCATCGTTTACTTAAGAAGTCGGCTTTCCACTATTTTGTGTTCCTCTCTCTTGAAGGGTGTGCCAATGTAATAGCTGGACAGTAACGCTTTAGTATATATCCTTTGAGACAGGTATGTCAGTCTAATGGTTGCAGCAGGAATGTTTGAACAACCTCTCTATAAGTTTGAGTGTTGTTGACGACCAACAGGAGCGTTTCACAGGTTTGGTGCACCAGTACAATGGTGCTAAAACGGTGACCATTTTTGTGGGGAAATCGTCCCTGATCTCTTTGCCTGTGTTTGTATGCTGAGAGTATGGATGTCTCCAGTGAATGTGTTCACTGTTTATTCGTTTGATTGTTTTCAACACTTTGTAATATGGGTTGGGCTTTATGTAACGAATTCTGGTAAATGACAAAATGCATTGACATGTCCCTCTATTGTTTGTGTGGATAGACCTAGGCCGTCCCTAAGTTGAAGCATTAGTGTCATCATTTTATTTCTATCACAAAATACTCCTGCACTGTTTCTATCAACAGGACGTTTTTGAGGCCCGATATCTGAAGGTTCCCCAAGAAACAGAGGATTGTTCCATGCCTCCTCAGCGAGTTGACAAGAGAAAAGGAGACAGAGTTGGAAGTCTGTCGACCTCGGCAAGTTCTGAAAGTGAAAGCTCGTCAGAGGCAGAGAGTTCATCCGAAGAGGTGGCCTCGCAGCTGGCCAATCTAGAGGAGCGGGTTGGTATATAAATGCCAGTAACCGTGCAAATGGCTTTTAAGAAGTTACTCACTTCACTGCATTTGACCTAATTGTATCATTAATGGCTGGCTTCTCAGTTGAAAGCTGTCAGTGATCAGCTGAAGAGACTCACCCAAGATCCCATGATGAAACCAAAGAAGAAAGCCAAGTTGAAAAAGGAAAAAAGAGCCAAAGAAAAGGATATCGCGAGACTAAAGCACAAGTCCTCAAAATACAAATCTATTGTAGAAAAAATAGCCAACAGCAAGAGCTCTACTTTGTAAGTAAGCCCCACTTAATCTTTTGATATGGCTTATATTTTATACTTACTATACTTGTATACTAAGTTATTACGAAACAGGTACTATGGCTAATATAAGATCCTTTGTGTGTATGTCTAGGCATGGCAGACACAATATTCATGGAGCATTACCTTTGAAATGTGAGGGTGAGGTCCCATCAATACCAGTGACCTACCAGGAGAAGAAGCAGTTGAAACTGGACATTGACAAGCTGCCTGGTGACAAACTGGGCAAGTTGGTGAACATCATTCATGCCAGGGAGTCCTGTCTGCGCGATTCCACTCTAGAGGAGATTGAGGTTGACTTTGAAATTCTCAAGCCTTCCACACTGAGAGCCCTGCAGAGGTTTGTTGCAATATGTCTGAAGAAATGCAACAAGAACATCTGCAGTAAGTACAGTTCAACCCTCCCACTTGTTCATACAGTTTGATCTTCACTGTTTGAATGATGTATGTGCAGAGTTTGATACTAAAGGATGTTTTCACATTCATCTGCTGAAAGTTGAAAGTTCCTCTTTTAAGGGGTGGGGCCCACGAGCATGATCTTTGATATCATACATGGTTTAGATGTCACAGATGCCACCAGTGCACATCCACTGACAATGGACTTTATAGTGAAGTAGGAGACTTCTTGTGTCCAGCAGGAAAACTTGAATAGAGTTTGCATATCCACAAATTCTGGAATTTTGAATGAGGTAGAAGAAGTAGATAACTTTTTTTTTTTTTAATGTGGAAATTATACATTTCTGCTGAACAAACAGATCAGACACACTTAATTCTTCCAAGCAGACTATTTGTATAAAATGTCTGTAATACATGTCTGAAGGGGATCTTTAAGCCTCCCTCTCACAGTTGAATTAAGATTTTTTTTTTTTTTTTTTGGGGGGGGGGGTGTTTTTAAATAAATTTACAGAAATAATCTAATGTTAAATTTTGTAACTTGTTCTCGCAGTTTAGAAACGGAGGGTTATTATCTTATTCTGTGTTGACAGAGGAAAAAAGCTGGTGAAGCCAACAGGAGGAATGCTGGACTGGAAAACTAAAGGAGGCTGAGAGAATGTCAAGGTTGCGCAAAGAGCAGAAACCGATTAAAGAAAAAAAAGCACTAGGTAAGAACTGAAATCTAATTAACGCGGTTACGCTTCCACGTTGACCATCAAAGTGTTAAAATTACTTTTACACTCAATTATTTTTTTTACTTTTAATTTCTTTGTCTTTTCTTTTTTTTTTTTTGCAGCTAAAGTCATTGCATCTCCTGACCTTAGCTACCCTTCACGCCTCAGTGAGAGCAGCAGCAGCTCATCATCCAGCTCTGACAGCAGCAGCAGTAGTAGTCATTCTGGCACTTCTGATAGCAGTGACTCTGAATCAGGTTAGCTGCCCTCCCCTTAGCACTCTGCCCTCGCCTACCTTTGTTTTACCCTTACCTTCTCTCCTTTTTTAAAATAAGAGATAAGCCATGGGCCAAATTCACCTGGGTGCCTTACTACTACAAACCCCATGGTTGCACTCGAAATATTAAATGGTTTCATATTTTTGCACATTCATCAGGTGTTTGCTCTTTGTGTTTATTTCACACACACTTTTAATAATCTATTTACATGTCTGTCCCAATGACACCTGACACCATTTTTTAGCAAAATATTTGATAGAGTGGTTGTTTTATTGTAGTGGACTTTAATTTCTGCCTGTATGCTGCATCAGTGGCAAGGGCATTGGATGAGTCAAGGCATCAACTAAAGAGTGAATTAAATCAAGCTGAAAATCATAGTTTCACTGCCCTCCGTAGTTTCAAGTTTCAAGTTTCTCATTGAGTCCGTCCGGTGCAACACAAGAAATCCAGATCAAACTGTCAAACTAGCATTGCTGATAAAAGTATGGAATTAACATTCTGTTACTGCATTGACTATTTCTCTCTTAGAATCTTTTAAGAAACTTATTTTAGTGTACTGTTTATCTAATACAAGAAGGTTTGTGACCAGGGGCCGATATATTTTCCTGCTTGACAACGGAGCCAAAACCAAGCACAGACCAAAACGCAGTACGTCACCCACTAGCTTCATGCTTATATGCTCAAATATGGTGACTTCTGGCTCCCCAAAAAAAACTACATAGCAACAGCCATAATTGTTGTCCACAAACCAATGGGTGACGGTGCATTTATGCACACTTGGGGTATACACAAATAAGGGATCTCTTAAGGGCCAATATGAATAGCAAGCAAAAACTGTTTTATTGTACCTTGTATAGCATTTTACTATGGTGCTGTACCTATTGATACATCTGTCTATTGATGATATTCACGTAATTACATGAAAATCAGAGATCATGATTGATGAGTTGATTGATGAGTTTGGGTGTGTGTAGCAGGTGAGTGGTGGTGTACTGAAAACTAAATGGTTAACAGAACAAAAGGTTCATATAATGTTTGTAAATAGTATATTGTCATTTTAGAATAAAACTATTAAACAGTTGAGTTGTAAAAATTAATTATACTTTAAGTAGTTCTCTGTCTGTTATCTTTTGTTTTTATGTTCTTTGGTGTTACAGAAATGGTTAATTTTTAGAAACTGGTGTAAATAGTTTAACATTACAAATGATTTTGTTATAATCACGTACGCTACATTACTAAAGATGAACCATGTTAATTGTTTTATATTTGATATAAGCAGTTTTAAAGACAAAATGTCTGTGATGCCTGTAGACCATGAATTACTAATGTGCATGTCTTTCAGTGCCAAAAACAAAGAAGCCGAAAAGCAAAGACTCTTGCCAAAAGGTTAAGACGAAGGTAAATACATTCAGTATTTGCTTACTGTAATCAAGAGATTCACAGTAAGGCAGCCTTGCTGAATGAAAAGTAAGTATGTAATTTCTTCTTAAGTCAAGGGTGACACGCACTGCCTGTAGTAAGCAGATATCGGGGACTAAAGATTTGACGAAGGCCTCAGTCAAGGCTTGTCACCCTCCTCTCGCTGTGCCGTCCTCGGTAGCAGAAACCAAAGGGCTCCCAACACACCGTAATGCAGACCAGACCTGTGATGAGCTGACTTTATCACCTCCAGGTACTGATTACATTTGTCCTTTTATGTCCCCCAAGTAAGTAATCCAGAATCCACATTCTTTTCACTTTTACTCGTCAATTTTAGTTCAAATGCATATACTTTTCTTCTTCATAATGCTAAGCCTAAGATGCACATTTTTGCTCTTGTTTTTATTTTTTATTAAGCATTATCCTTTTATAATTTCCCACTTTGTAGCAGTCCCTTTCAGCAACCTCTGAGACCTAGTGCCAGTCCAGCATCAATGCCTCCTAAAAACCCTGTACCCACAGATCAGCTTATTAAACTAAAACCTCATTGAGATTCCTTATTCCTCCTTCACTGCCAGTGGCTCCCCATCATGAATAGTTCATCTAGTGAACCTTCCTCTACCACCGCCTGTTCACCTCAGGCTGCCTGTTCCCCTGTAATTGTCCTATATGCTCAGTGTCCTTCAGAAACACAAGTTCAGGAAGTGAAAACTCACTCTTTGTTCTAATAGGGCTGAACAGGAAGGTAAGGGATCCCCCTCCCATTGCTGTTGGTTTTATATATGATGCTCTCATGCTGCTTCTTCCTGCCTTCAGTTGGTTTTACTGCACACTAGCACTTGTTGTATGTTTGTCTATTGCCTTTGACATAGTTGTGACATGTTGAAGATCAATATCTGCCATTTTTCTTTTTGACAGATTTATCTGCCCTTTTATCCCCAATGGCATCTCCTGGAGTTTCACTGGACTGGGCTGCAGCCAGATTTGAGGTACTTCTGAAACTGTAACACTCCACAAAGACTGTTGGCTTTGATGGTTAAAAAAACAACGTTTTAAATCTGGTGACACACTTGAGATGACATGTTATCATGAATGTCGTACCTTTTTTTTTAAATGACTCATGTAGTAATAGGATCACACAGGTCCGTTTATTCATCGGTAAAGATTATATGTGCGATTTCTGCCTTACTGTTTGTGTGATTTAACCTAAAATCAACACATTGTGGTAGTTGTTGAGTACATTCTATATAATACTTTTGGCCAAGTTGCATTTACAAAGGAGCGGCAGTTACCTTAGAGTTAAATGAAATTGCTTGAATCAAGCATGTTCTCCATTTAACTGGTTTAACACATTTGGACTATCAGTTTAATAGGGTTTGGTTTAGGTAGCATGACCTACAATAGCAGACTGACTACATTGCTGTAAAGCATTAAGGACCTAAACGTTAAAACTAAATCTCACCTTTCAGCAGGGCCCAGTGCTGTCCCCTCTGAGAGACAGCCCACTGCAGTCCAAAGATGAAACAAGTAAGTCACTAGAAGAGCCTTACTTTGACATCACCATTTTTTAACATTATTAATACGATATTTTTAAAGTTATTATGGCAGATTTCAGATACCCTGAGGATTTTCCTGACAGTCAGGTGACTAATGTGCCTTACACCAACTCATCAAGTAATTCTACCGAAGAGGAAAAACCACAAATTCCCAAAAAGGTTGGCATTGTTTAACTGAGTTCATTACTAAAAAACTTTTATATCTTGTTCTTGATTTGTTGAAGAATGTTTCTGCAGATCCGGATGCAGAGGGTGGGTTGCACCAACTAGGATTCTTTTTAATCAGCTGTCGCATTTTTATATAATACTCAGCTAAGATCATTGAAGATAAATAAATGTTCAGAAATAGAAAATAATATATAGGGCTATTACTGCTACCTGTTTTATACATCAATATAAAAATATGTTTTTATTATACTTGTATAAATTATATTTTATATACTTTTTTTTACTAATTACTATGAGGACAATATGTAACTTTTAGAAATCTAAACATTGAGACACAGTTCCTATTTCATACTATTTTTTTTTATTTATTTAAATTTTTATTTAATTGAAAGTCTATATCTATATATATCTATAGATATAGATATATATAGATATAGATAGATAGATATAGATAGATATAGATATAGATATATATATTATATATCTTTACAGTAATTTTCAAAGGAGTTTTG